CCAGTTTAAGCCTTTCTGTACACTATTTCTAAATGCAAAGCCAATAGTAATAGTTATAATAACTTTATTTATGTGTCAATACGATGTAGCACAGCTGGTAATTGGGGACATCTAAATGAGTTAGCATTGTAAATTAAAATGTTATTTGTCCATCAGGAAAGTGATAAATAAAACCCACATGGTTTTGTGGATCGCACTGTAATATTTTGACCATCCATGCTAAATTACTGCAATGAACGGATACTCTCTCTCACCTTACTGCTAAAGCAAAGGTAATTTGGAGAACAGTACAGTGTTCCCCATTCATGGGCTTTTTCATGAGGACTCCACAAGGTGCATTCACAATGGCCATCAAGTTTCTCTTCTACTGGCAAGCGAAACAGGTTTCTGAGGGTAAAATGTATAGTTACGGTAAAATTATAGCTAATTCACAATCAGGGAATTAGTGTGTGCATTACATGAAACAGTGGCAATTTTTGTTTCAAATTGGATAGCAAAATACTAGCATCCTCAATTGGTACATATAACATGGTCCAGGTAGCCAAATTTTAGCCCAGCACTCCTTCTGAGGTAACACTCTGAGTTAAATGTTTAGGACTGACTTGTAAAGATGAAGCATTTACACAGAAGACATGTCACACAAGTGACAAAAGGTGTCTCAAATTCCATGTGGGGTCTTGAAATTAATAAGAAAACATTCTCTGGTAGATACAACAGGCATACAACTCACAAGTTTATATACCAGGCGGTCAGCTCTGATCAAAGGATAAACAGTCAGCATGAGTCTTTAAAAAACATGCCAGGTCAAGATAACACTTTTATGTTTAAAACCTCCCATGGTGAGTGGATCTACTAAATCGTTATTAGCAAATACATAGTAAGTCAGTTTATTCCTGGATTTATAAGTCAGACTGCCTTAATACTCTTAACTGAGAGAAACTTGACATGAATCAATGTGACATAATTTGATTCTCTCCTTCTGCAACAATCTGCTTTTTAAATAGAATAAGGTAGGTAACATGTAGGTTTATAAGCCACCTAACCTGTAGAATTCACTCTGAGCTCGAGCATCCAAGTCTCTCTTCAGTGATGGGACCTTCTTCACTTGCTTGCCTCTGTTTCTATGATTTCAAGCAAACACCTCATTTTTACTTATAGTATAAGTTAACAACAATGGAGAATTTCTTATCAGGTAGCATTAATGCATGTATCAAGTATATTATCCTGAAGTCTGAAGGTAAGTCCAAATCAGAGGATATATGGATTATATTTGACCAACTGTGAGGTCAAAATGGTCAGATATTGGCCAAGTTCTTTTTTTGCCTGTTATGAGAGTCAAGGTCCATAAACCCGCAGAAAAGAATGAGGCCATTATCCTCCCATCTTGATCACACAAGCTTGGCCAATAAAGGATTTACTGTATGCCTTTCAGGAAAATTTTCTTGTGGTACACAGCGGACAGTCCTGAGTGGGCAGGATAGTGCCATCTTTCCCATTCGGGTAGCCAATCACAGCATAGGTTTTAGTTCATCTTGCTCATTCACAGAACTAGGTATATACTAAAACTTGATAGTTCATCCATGCTGGCACTTATATGATTGAAGCTTCAGTTTCAATAGCATGAAGTGACTTAGAACTTTACTACAGTGGTCTAATGATTACTGTAATGGACTTTAGATTGAGCAATCTAGGATCAAGCTCTGGGTGTAGACAGGCTCTGTCACCAACAGCATCCTCAATTAGTAGAGGATCTTTACCCCTGCCCAGATAGTTTTGACACTTTAATAAAGGTATTGATTGATTGATTGACTCACTTTGTCAACAAAGGCAATGTTTTATCTTGTTCATAGCCTTCTTCTGACAATAGCCTAGATGAAATAAAACAATAACAACATTGTAACTCATGAGCAAGGAACTAAGTGATGCATGAACTGATCTTGAGCCAAACCCGACAATGGCTTAAGACTGTAACAAAAACACAGGAAAATTGGCGAGCCAAGGAGGACAACCAACTAGTTTCATGAGGGTTACTGGACTTGAGCTCCCTGGAAATTCCAGTTGTTTTACATTTTCTTGTAAAAGTTATGGTCTTTGAGACACCCCCCGCCCCTCAGAATTTCCAGTTAACCTTGAGGGGTGGGTTCGGATATTATCCCAGCTGAAACTACACATCAATTTAATTACATATTAATCAATCAGGTTGAAAGAGGTCAAGGTTTAATCTACAGTTTGAGTATCCAACATGATTGATCAGCCCATAATGCATGTAAAAGCCTATAGCTACTGATAGTTATACCTGTGATATTTCTACTGATAATTTTAGCATTAAACTTGATTATTTGTTGTCAAGCTTGGATATAATTTGCATCATTAAAGAAAACAAACATTAGAAATGCATGTAGGAATTGTTTATTAATAAGTGTTTTTGTTTATGTTTGACAACAACAAGTTTGATGTCCAGCGTTATTCATAAGTGAGTTGATCACCAAATCACACTATTAAATAAGAACAATTCTTACTGTCGCATGGCCAGGTTTGCAAGCTGCTCCATGAGACCAAAAGTTTCTGTTATGTGAAGCAACAGAGAGAAGCTGAACTGAAATAGAAACAGACACCAACAAGTGGTTTAGTAGTTCATTAGTATGACTGCAGCTGAGGGCAGATTTAATGTTACCTCAGATCAAATCTGGGTTTTACCAACAGTCCACTGGTTAAGAAGGTTGAATCATGTCCTGAAAACCTGAGAGAATAAGTTCCACTCACCTCTCCTTCTCTTGTTGTAACCTTGACTCCATCAGTAAACAAGACACTGCTACTCCTCTCAAGAGACTAAAAAGACATTCAATAAACACGCAGCATCAAAATTATGTCACTCACTGTTTCTTAAGTTACCAAATAATGTCAACAGACTCTACAACTATTGACGGAGATTCCTGATTCCTCCTGATTCTGGCAAGTTAACTGGGAGCATTCGGTTGATAGCATAACAAAAGGCAAAGTGCACATGGATCAGGCCAAACTTCACCACACTACTAGAACTTATCCTGGTTTCTACAGCGTGAATCAACTTGGATATTTCTACTACTCACTGGATGATGAGATGCCAATTATCACAGGGTTAAACCCTAGCACATAATTTTGTGGTGTCTATCTATAGATCCTGATAGAAGCAAGTACTGAGGAGAAACAGTCCATCAAACTAGTCCATCACAGGTTACCCCCTTGAGCATTCTATCTGCTTTTATTTCATTTTTGCTTTATATTGTTTATTTTATGTTTTAGGAGTGGGGAGGAGCTGAGGGCACTGGTGACCCTCATGGTATTGTGGTTCTGTTGTATTTAAATTATCCATCCTTGGCTATTCATTACATTGGTTGTTCAAAAAGGGTATAGAAGGTTAATTTCAAAAATAACATTCATTGCAAAGAGTTTATTCATGTACATGTAAAGTAAAGATTTTCTGTTGATCAATACATACCACTACATCAAGCCATCTGATGACAAGCCGTGCCTCTTTTCCCATCAAAAATGAGTAGAAACACATATAGTTAACTGATAAATACAACCAGCCTTGACGGGGAACTCTTCCTTTCCAGTAACTACAGGAGTAATCTGGAATAAAATTTAAAATTATAGTGAGCTGTGAAGGATGTTACATGAATACAATAACATATGCTAACTTAAAACATGGCAAAGCAAGATCTCACTGCATGTTCATTCGTCCAGCTGTGTCAGGCCACAATGCCCTTGACACATTAATAACACAGACAACCAGTCAACCATACTTTTTTGAGAGGTACAAGGAATTTAAACCCGTCTCTTGTGCATAATGTAAAGTGTTACTTTACGTCAAATATGGTGACTTGGATAGTCACACAAACCAGTCAAGTTGTATGAAAGAACGAACATCTGACAAGACCAATGTCATTGTCACTGAAACCTTGAAATTTTGTCTCTTCAAGTACATTGTACTGCTCTTGTCTGAATTTCCNTTTGCTTTATAATGTTTAAATTTTATGTTTTAGGAGTGGGGAGGAGCTGAGGGCAATGGTGACCCTCATGGTATTGTGGTTCTGCTGTATTTAAATTATCCATCCTTGGCTACTCATTACATTGGTTGTTCAAAAAGGGTATAGAAGGTTAATTTCAAAAATAACATTCATTGCAGAGAGTTTATTCATGTACATGTAAAGTAAAGTTTTTCTGTTGATCAATACATACCACTACATCAAGCCATCTGATGACAAGCCGTGCCTCTTTTCCCATCAAAAATGAGTAGAAACACATATAGTTAACTGACAAATACAACCAGCCTTGACGGGGAACTCTTCCTTTCCAGTAACTACAGGAATAATCTGGAATAAAATTTAAAATTATAGTGAGCTGTGAAGGATGTTACATGAATACAATAACATATGCTTACTTAAAACATGGCAAAGGAAGATCTAACTGCATATTCATTCATCCAGCTGTGTCAGGCCACAATGCCCTTGACACATTAATAACACAGACAACCAGTCAACCATACGTTTTTGAGAAGTACAAGAAATTTAAACCTGTCTCTTGTGCGTAATGTAAAGTGTTACTTTACATCAAATATGGTGACTTGGATAGTCACACAAACCAGTCAAGTTGTATGAAAGAACGAACATCTGACAAGACCAATGTCATTCTCACTAGAACCTTGAAATTTTGTCTCTTCAAGTACATTGTACTGCTCTTGTCTGAATTTCTGCTATAATTTTCCCAAAAACTTCACTTGCCTGAAGGGCAACTGACTGACAGGAGCCGCTAGCATAACTGCAAAATCCACTAGACCTGGGGTATTGGACACCACTATCTTCACATGCTGAAGCAGGTGAAAATGACTTTCAGGCTAGTAAATCAGAGTTTTAGCTTGCCCAAAGGGAAGCTTGAAAGCTTGAATATAAAGTACACATAACTTACAATTTACAAGTTTTTCATCCACTGGAATGTTAAAGATCCTGTGAAATCTTGTTGTTGCCGACTTGAATCTGTTGGTTTCTGTTTCAGCAACCATATCTTGATCTGCTACGACATTGGCCACAAGACTCTCAATCTTTGCTTTTACAAATTCTCTGATATCATCTTCACTTTCAATGGTCTCTGTGGTGCAAATATTAAACAAAATTAACCAACCCTGGTGAAGAAAAATGGTTATAACATATACATGAACTTCAAAATTTGAAAGTACAATTAGGAAAAAAATCACTTCTGGAGATTCTAAAAGAATTGCTAGAAAAATATATAGGTTCATTGTACTAATAATTAATTAATT